TTTATTTGTAAATAATATTTATCATGAGTAAAATTACCTGGTTGGTCAAGTTCTTGAGAAATACTCTGCCACAGTTTTTCTTTATAAATTCCATCAAGATATTTTAGATGGGAAAGATCGTATAATTCGATGTGTTGTTGCACTAATTCTATCAATTTTGTTGTAAATAATTTTTATCTTAATCCATTCTTAATTTTAAAGAATGCTCTCGATATCGCAGATTGATACAAAATGAGACTCAAAAATCTGAATGCTACACTGAAGCCTATTTACATTTGTCAGTACCGGCACGTTCAATGCCGTCCGATCCGTGAAAATATCGTCGTCAACGACATCTGCGGTGCCGGTACGGACACGGACGGCACGGATACGGAATAGTGTAAATACTTACATTTAATCATATGGAATCGAATCTAACATCCGTGCACGGACGTGTACGGTACGGACACGGTACGGATACGGTACGGATATGTATAAACGGACCTTAAGAAACAGTACGTCCTAAACATGAAAGAAGGCGTGCGGGACAAAATATCTGACACAATAATTACTACTTGCCAAAGAGGAGAAAAATTATTGCCTGCACGAAGGCAAGCAATAAATCGAGTTGTCGCAGATTATATGATAAATGTGCTTCAACAGACATCAAGAGGAGTATCTGAAAAAATAGCAAAAAATATTTGTAAGACATATCCGCAAACTTTTTGTATGGTACACGAACAATATATTTTAATTTGTGTTATTTTTTATACTCGCGCTTTTTCTCCGTACGCGAGCTACCGAGCGTTTTCGCTATTCTGTTGTTATTGCCACGAGTGGCTCGCGAGTGCGCGCGCTTTCCGATAGCGTCACTACCTGATTTCCGTCTTCTTGCTTGCATTGCAACACGTGAAATAAATAAGTTCTTTGTCGAAAAGTGCAATAAATATATTTAAAACTTAAGAGAAGTGTCTATTTCTCGGCCACGTCGTCCTCGATGCAATCTTCCGTGGACAACCGTGGATATCGTACGACAGTACGCAACAAATTATTGGTCCTTCGAGCCGGATAATCTAAAAATCCGAGCTTTTCGACAAAGGGACAACGAGGCTTCGCGACCAAGCGAGCAAATTCCTCGGCCCTCAGCAACAAACGGTGTCACGACCACATCCTTGAATCATCATCAAGGCGCTGCAACCAAGCAGCCTTCCGGTGCATTTCCATTGCGCCAACATTTTCCGGACATCTCGAGAACGACCACGAGTGAATGGAGGCGTCAACCGGACATCTCGCCAAACGCAGCCAATCTCCCAGCCGGTCGACGAGCATCTGTAATCCACCACAACACGCGGACAAGGATTGCAGGGCGACGGTCACAGGACCAAAGGACCATCGCGGGACAACGATTCAGCCATCTGGCGCGTGCCGGTAAGGGTAGTCATTCTATAACGGTGCCAATCCAAAATAATTCGTTCGATATCTCAATTACGTTCGATTCAAAATAGATTAAGATCCTGTCGTTATCAAAAAACAACGTGGAATTATTAAAAGTGCGTGCACGCGGATTAAAACATATGTAAATTCAATCGCTTCCGTGACACCAACGGTCATAGCTCAACTCGAGGAGCGCAAATTGAAATTAAACGAATATTGGTCGACATACAATGAGTTACAATCTCGCATCGAATTAATCGACGAAAATAAAGCTAACGATCGTATTAATTTCGAAGAGGCCTATTATTCGCTCTCTGCCAAAATTCGTGAGATACTCAACCCTGTGAATCCGTCGCGTAACGCAATAAGTTCTCCGTCCACCTCGCGCATGTCCGACCAATCAGATTCTCAGCTCAATGTTCGATTGCCCAAGCTAAATTTACCTACGTTTTCTGGAAGGTATCACGAGTGGTTCCCATTTTTCGACTCCTTCAATTCTGTAATACACTCGAATCCATCGCTCAGCAACATACAACGGTTACAATACTTAAAGGCCTCATTGGCTGACGACGCGTGCAATGTAATTAGCTCATTGGAAATTTCAGACCGAAACTACGACGTCGCATGGAATCTTTTGAAAGATCGCTACGATAATAAACGCGTTATCGTGCACACGCACATCAAGGCCATCATGGAATTGCCATCCATAAATAAAGAAAATGCAGCCGAGCTAAGACAGATTGCGGACGGGGCAACCAGACACATACAAGCTCTCCAAGCTCTCAAGCGCCCCACACAGCACTGGGACGATCTGCTCGTACATATCCTGGCTTCTAAATTAGACGCAATCACGCTACGAGAATGGCAAGCCTCATTGGTTGGCACGGATCCTCCTACATTCAGGCAGTTCAGCGATTTTATTACACACCGTTGCCAAATGCTTGAAGCTACGTGCAATACAATTAATGCCACAAGGGCAAATACTAGCAAGCGCACAGCGACCAATACAAAACGCCAAACAGTCTGCGTTGCCACGGTCAAATCCAAATGTACCTTTTGCGATGGTGAGCATGCCATCTACTACTGCAAGGATTTCTTAGCGTTGCCAATAGCAAAAAGGATATCAGAAACTCAAGGTCACAAGATCTGCAGCAATTGCCTAAGATCCTCTTCACACGCATCTAGCAAGTGCCCCTCTCAAGGTTGCAAAATTTGCAAGGCCAAGCACAACATGTTGCTGCACCAATTTGAGAATAAACCAGAAGAGCGTTCCAACAATTCGGATAGCCATAAGGAACCCGTCGCCACATCCCATCAAGCCGTCTTGACAACACACGCACGCAGTTCCAGTGATGCAAGGCATGTAATGCTATCCACTGCCGTAGTGGATGCCTTCAGTAAGGATAGATCTCCAGTAGCCTGTCGCGTATTGCTGGACAGTGGGTCACAGGCCAACTTCATTTCAAGGGAGTGCGTGAAGACTCTCAAACTACAACCGCAACCCTTAAATGTATCAATCTCTGGCATAAATAAAGCAACGACGAAATCTACGCACGCAGTCCAAGTGAAGTTGCAGTCACGCTTCAACTCATACAACGTAACCATCCAGTGCATTGTTACAGACCAAATTACCTGCAAACTGCCAACGCTCACTATGAAACGAGACGTTTATGATCTTCCTCGAAATCTAAAATTAGCGGATCCACAATTTAACGTGTCGGCGGAGATTGATGTACTCCTAGGAGCCGAAGTATTCTGGGACCTGCTATGCGTGGGACAGATTAAGCGATCCACTGAACATCCGACATTACAAAAAACACACTTCGGTTGGATATTGGCAGGCTGTCTGAGTAGCGATAAAAAACAAGCACAGGAAGTACAATCCTTCCATGCAACTATCACCAACACTCAGCTGCACGAACAACTGTCTCGGTTTTGGCAAATCGAAGACATTCACCATACCTCCGGATACACGGCCGAAGAAACTCTTTCAGAAAGACACTTTCTGGACAATGTATCCCAAAATTCAAAGGGCAGATACATCGTCAAGCTGCCAATCAAGGAATCAAAGGCCGTTAACCTAGGACAATCAAAAGACATCGCCTTAAAACGCCTGCTTCATTCAGAAAGACGTCTTAGCCGGAATCCAGGCCTAAAGATGCAGTACGTCCGATTTATGAACGAATACCTGACCTTAGGACACATGAAGCGAGTAGACGTGTCACCGAGCGAAGATTCAATGTCCTATTATCTACCGCATCACTGCGTGTTTAAGGGATCAAGGCAGTCGTCAAAAATCCGCGTTGTCTTCGACGCCTCGTGTAAAAGCAGCACTGGCGTATCCTTGAACGACGTCCTCAGAGTAGGGCCCGTCGTACAACAGGATCTGATGTCCATTGTTATGCGCTTCCGTACGACCGCTTATGTAATGGTGGCGGACATAATAAAAATGTATCGCCAGGTACTGATACATCCATCGCAGACATGCTTGCAAAGGATTTTATGGCGCAGTGATTCATCTTCGGACATTGGGACGTACGAGCTAGTCACGGTCACCTACGGTACGTCGTCTGCATCGTTCCTTGCTACAAGATGCTTGAAACATTTGGCAGAAAAACACTCGGCGGACTATCCAATCGGTTCCAGGCACGTCCAACGTGATTTTTACGTCGACGACCTACTCACCGGGGCCGACACGCTTCAGGACGCAAGGGCAGCTCGAGATGAGATCATATCGTTGTTAAAATTGGGCTCGTTTGAACTCAGCAAGTGGGCCTCAAATTGCCCACAACTACTGGACGCGATCGACGATCAAAACAACGGCCTGATTTCTATTCGTGATGGCGCAGACTCTCACATACTAGGAATACAATGGAATCCAATAACCGACACCTTTCATTTCTCGTACGAAACTGAAATGGAACACAACGCAGTATCCAAGCGATTCATACTGTCGAAAGTCGCTAGGTTGTTCGACCCGTTGGGTCTTCTCGGACCGACCATAGTTATCGCCAAATTGATCTTACAAGATTTGTGGAAATCAGGCGTGCACTGGGACGAATCCGTTCCACAAACCATACACACCTGATGGTCAACGCTCAAATCTCAGTTGAACGAATTAAACCAATTAACGATTTCCCGACGTGTCAAGTTCTCAGCAAGTCTTCAAGACCTACAAATACATGGTTTCTGTGACGCCAGTCAACATGCCTACGGAGCAAGCGTCTACATACGCACAAGAGTCAATTCTAACGAGTATAGGTCTGAGTTACTTTGCTCGAAGTCGAGAATTGCACCGTTAAAGGCTATATCGCTTCCACGTCTGGAGTTATCAGCAGCGTTATTGCTAGCACGCCTAATCGACAAGATACGAACATCAATAAACGCAAGGGACATTCGAACACATCTCTGGTCAGATTCAACAATAACTCTGAATTGGATCGCCTCATCATCGCGCAAATGGTCAGTCTTCGTAGCCAATAGAGTAGGAGAAATTCAGAGGCTAACGGAGCTCGGAAGTTGGCGACATGTTCCGTCTGCACAGAATCCAGCGGACGTGCTTTCTCGGGGCCTCAACCCTCGCGACCTAATTAATGCCACTTTATGGTGGCACGGTCCGGCCTTCTTGCAATTCGACGACACTTCGTGGCCGACCACTGAACTTACATGTTTTGATGACCAAGCGCCGGAACTAAGAAAGGTTTGCAACGTCGCTGCTCTGGAAAACGACATTGTTCTAAACATATTGGCCAAAAATTCTAAGCTGGAAAGAGCTTGCCGTATAGTCTCCTATTGTCTAAGAGCCTTAAACAAACACTCAAGACCACCCTCTTTATTAATATCGCACGTGGAAATATCAGCGGCTCTATTGCTAATGTGCAAAATAACTCAACGGCATTTCTTCCCTCAGGAATACAGATCATTGAGCAAGAATGAGACTATACCTACCTCTAGCAAGATCTTATCATTATCGCCGTTCATGGACGAACGCAGATTAATACGCGTGGGGGGCAGATTGAAAAACTCAGAACTATCCTTTGACGCGCGTCACCCAATACTCCTGCCGAGCAATCATGACTTGACGAAACGAATAATAATGAGAGAACATATAAGGAACATGCATTCGGGTACTCAAGCTACCATGGCCGCAGTCAGGCAACAATTCTGGCCTTTAACTTTACGATCCGTCACTCGAAAAATCATCTTAGGGTGTGTAAAATGCTTTAGAACAAACCCAACGTTTTCAGAAGCACCAATGAGCTCTTTACCTGCTAGTCGCGTTACGGTTTCCAGGCCATTCTCACATTGTGGATTGGACTACGCTGGTCCGATGATTCTGCGGGAGGGTAAGAAACGAAACGCGCGCAATCATAAGGCTTACGTCGCGATATTCGTCTGTTTCGCGGTTAAGGCAGTGCACATAGAGCTGGTGAGCGATTTCACTTCCGACGTGTTTATAGCTGCACTTAGACGTTTTATATCTCGCAGGGGAAAACCTTCCCACATTTATTCCGACAACGGAACAACATTCGTCGGTGCTAAAAATCAGCTCAACGAGTTCTTCGAATTTTTGAGCAAAAATCAAACACAGGCGGATGTAATACAGTTCCTTTGCGATCAACAAACCTATTGGAGCTTCATACCTCCCAATGCCCCTCACTGTGGTGGCCTATGGGAGGCAGCGGTCAAATCCGCAAAACACCACTCAAATCGGATTGTAGGCAGGGCTCATTTGACTTTCGAGGAAATGCAGACTGTACTCTGTGAAATAGAGGCAGTTTTAAATTCGCGGCCTTTGTTTGCGTTAAGCGCGGATCCGAACGACTTGTCGTATTTAAGTCCGGGTCATTTCTTGATTGGCACCGTCATAAATGATTTCCCTTCTCATGATTTAAGCGATGTTAATGAAAACCGTCTAATAAGATGGCAGCGAGTGGAGCAATTGAGGCAGCATTTTTGGCGTCGATGGAGTCTCGAGTACCTTCACTCATTACAAGCGCGATCGAAATGGAGAGTAAACAAGGGCACTCAACTGAAACCCAACCAACTGGTTCTTGTAAAGCAACTGGACCTGTCTCCATTACATTGGCTTTTAGGCCGCGTGCAAGAGGTTCACGCAGGGACTGATGACATAATACGTACAGCTACCGTAAAAACCGCCAAAGGGTTTCTTACTAGACCTTTAACCAGGCTTGCGATTTTGCCTGTCGAAACGCTTGACACTGTCACGGAAACTTCCAATCGTTCCACACCAACTTAGATTAGCATCAGCGAATTAATTAATAGTTTCTTAGGATTAAGTCATAGCGTTACTTATTTAGGAGACAAGTTAAAGGAAAGAGAGAAAGCACAGCGTTTTCTTTTGTATTTATCGCCACTTACTCATGTTAATTTACCTAATTGAAGGCGTTACCTTCAAGGCGGGCGGCGTGTATGGTACACGAACAATATATTTTAATTTGTGTTATTTTGTATACTCGCGCTTTTTCTCCGTACGCGAGCTACCGAGTGTTTTCGCTATTCTGTTGTTATTGCCACGATGGCTCGCGAGTGCGCGCGCTTTCCGATAGCGTCACTACCTGACTTCCGTCTTCTTGCTTGCATTGCAACACGTGAAATAAATAAGTTCTTTGTCGAAAAGTGCAATAAATATATTTAAAACTTAAGAGAAGTGTCTATTTCTCGGCCACGTCGTCCTCGATGCAATCTTCCGTGGACAACCGTGGATATCGTACGACAGTACGCAACACTTTTAAAGACACAATTGATAACCAACAGTGGGGCAGTGGCATTGAAACTTTGAGAATGCAAATATATAATTGCGTTCAATATATGAAACATACAAAAAATCGTACTAAAAGAGCATTAAGTCCAGATAGCGATACTGATCAAGAAGAGAGAAGAAAAGAAGCTGCCATATTACGGCGTCAGGATAAATATGGCTGCGTTGAATACGCACCTAGATTACTTTCTACGGAAGATCCAAAGTCACAGGAAGAAAAACGTCTTCGATTAATAGAACTATTCGCTGTTGTAGAAAGAGATACAAAAGAAGTAGACCAATTGATGACAGAAACGTATCCAACTCAACGAGGCGTCATTAATGAAAAGTTGAGAAACATTGAACAAATCTTAGTAGACTGGCCTTTTCTTAAAGAACCAGAATTTATATTGCAGCATAGTTCTATCTTACTGGGAAAAACATTCATAATGTTTCGTCAGACTCGCTTAGCAAGAAAGTTAAGCCAATCCGACAATATTTCAAATTTTCTAAAAATTTACTTGATAGAAAAATGCAAGCGATAACTTGCATTATTAATGAATGTAAAGAGACTGCACAAGTAACAAAAGAGAATATGCCAAAAATACTAGTTATTTTTCCATTGTTACTTGAATATTTTGGAGAAAAGTCAAACTTTTTATTTAAAATAATTAGCGTAAGTTAGGTTTTTTGCATTTCATGCTTGTATTAAAAGTACGAGATGATAATAAAGATTAATATCATTATTATAGATTGACAAAGCAGACGCAGATATTCCAGCAGTTGCAGATTCCGATTACCCTGTTTTAATTATTAGAGGTATTTATATTTAATTTCATAAAATAAATGATATATTTTCTTTTGTGTTTTATAGGAAACTCACTTTATGATTCTAACGCTATATGTAATGTCGTTATCGAAAGAAAGATAATGATTTTTTGCGATAACGTTCTCCAAGGAATTTTAATCAGCTTTTAGCATATTATATATTTGGAATTTGCTATCCGAAAGAAGCTGAAAAGACATTAAGAGTTT